ACAATATATATACAACATTTTATATTATTATCTACAATATATACAATATATATATATATATACAATATTTTAAATTCTAATTTTCTGTATAGTTTAATGTATCAATTTTATATATTTTTTAAATTTTTTATATGCCACATTCTTATACAATCATCATTCAACAAATCATTTACAAATGAATTCATGATTGTGTCATAATGTACATACTGTAAAATCAATATATGTTTAAACTTATGTTGTAATCTCTGACCCAGTTTAACAAGTTGTGATTCTTAACTGGATTTCACGATTAAATTGTACTTATTTCAATTATTATATGATTCTATATTTCTCTTTTCTTTTCACGTTACAATTCGATCATAATTCAAACATATTCCATTTTTAATTTACAAAAAACATGAATTAATAAAATCAAAATTAAACAATTTTAGACTCTTTAAACTTGAAGTTAGTTACAAAAACGGGCATATAAGAGTCAAGTGTGATAATTAGAGCGCAAAAATCTTTAAGAAAAAAAAAATTAGCCAAAACATGTATACGAATTATTAATTAAAGAGATACAATTTAATAATATTGAAATTTATCACGCACATAGTACAGCGCTAATTCCCAAGAACCAAACTTATTATAATTATAATTGTTTATATCAATTAAGATCATCATTCGTTTAAATAAGAATATATAGTATATTAAAGCTTAAGAGAAACTGGAACTTTTTTTATATTTAAATTTAAATCCCTTACCTTGTTCCTTCACAATCATGCCAACTCCATGAAAAAATCCTCTGAATCTCGGATTCGCCGAACGTTGGTCGTTGATGAATTTCACCTTAATCGTTTCCATCGGAGTAACCGCGAAAATAGCTTCGCACACACCAGCGCAAAGACCGGCGAAGAGCCTTCTTTGCGGATTGAGCTTTCCATCCGCATCCACCAACTGCTTTTTCACCGACTCAAAAGCGCCAAATCGGACTGCCGACTTTGGTATAGAACCATAAAGCAAAACAGACAAGCCTCTGTATAAACCAAAAAATCCACGAGTCTTGATGGTCTTGGTGATACAGTCAACTATTCCTGTATATTCTTTACCAGCACCGGCTTTTCCGTCCAATTGCAATTGCGTTTTAACATATTCGGTGGGATATGTGATACAAATTTCTATGCCTCCAGTAATACCACCTGAAAGTTAATTATATCCTCAAATATTTATATTTAAATAGAAATAATATATGCATACATGTATGTATGTATGTATGTATGTATGTATGTATGTATGTATGTATGTATGTATGTATGTATGTATGTATGTATGTATGTATGTATGTATGTATGTATGTATGTATGTATGTATGTATGTATGTATGTATGTATGTATGTATGTATGTATGTATGTATGTATGTATGTATGTATGTATGTATGTATGTATGTATGTATGTATGTATGTATGTATGTATGTATGTATGTATGTATGTATGTATGTATGTATGTATGTATGTATGTATGTATGTATGTATGTATGTAT